CCAGACTTAAAAAATTAAAAAAATTCCTACGTGGCAATGACAAGACTGAAGACTGCAATGAACAACTATTCTCTGGACTCAGAATGTGGCATTTGTTCGTGTCATTTAATATCCCCTAATCTTTCTATTCAAAGAAAAGGTAAGTGTTCCCTATTCTTGTTTTTTAATGACAGCCATAATTTTATTAACAGATATATTTTCCCCTTCAGTGATCACTTTGCTGCCCTGAAGAATCTTACCCTAGTTAGTTTTCTTCTGATGAAAACCAATCCACACTGGCTGAACTTCTTACCAACTCTCTCACAGCACTTTTTCCAGATATGCTGTTTATCCTTGGAGACACAGGACCAAATCTGCCTCCAACAGTCAACAGGCACCCAAAAACATTGAAATCTCCAGGCATGCTGATTGTGCCCTTTGTTCTCCATTCCATTTATAACAATTCCAGGACTGCATCTGCTTTTTTGACAGCAATTAGCTTCAAGCTGCTATTTTCACAAACTTATAACAACGAGCCCTGGTATTCTGACTGGTAATAGTCAGTTCATAGCCCATTATAAAATATAAGAAACTAGAATTGTACCCTCATGTGCATCACTTCCAGCATCTGCAGGTTGAATTTTATCTACACTCCCATTTTGTTTCTCTATCCTGCTTTTCACGTATCAACCTGACGTATACCTGCAATCATTTTTTTATTTTAATTAAAAATAAATCGATTTTTCCCAAGTAGGAGATTCTAAACAAAAAACAGTCATACAGAAAACAACTTAATTAATAAAAATCAGCATAAAATAGAAGAGCAACAGTAATGTTATATGCCATGCTTTAGGATGAAGAATCAGCTTTGATGAAAGCAAATTATCATGCAACAGTATAGATTTCCAAGTAATTTCTGGAGCTCTTTACCAGGATCATGACTCTTGTCTCATGCCTTAAGTGAATACTCTAAGAGTCTGAGATTAAAACGTAAATAGGAACACCAAATGGATAAGCTGAATGATAAATGCAGAATTCTCTTTTTAAAATAAAATATAGACTTTGTTTTGGACACCTCTGTTGACTTTTTTATAGAGGTACAGGAAATAGAATACCAACTTCTATGTAAAGGAAAAAGTTGAAGGTAGTTACTTAAAAAATATATTAATTTCTAATAAAAGGTTTAAATTCCAAATTTTACAATTCTCGACTAATGTTTTCTGACTCTTCAGAAACAACTGTCAAAAAGATTGTGGGAGATGAGTGTTACCCAAATTCATCACTATTTTTAAATTTTTCCATACACAGAACTATTACTGTTACTGTGTTTTGAACCAAAATGTTACAGAATATCTCTTTTAGGTCTCAAAAGAGGATGTTTGCAACCCTTCCAGAGAGGAAAGATCTTCATGAAGGGAACACAAAAGTCACAAACACCGATTCAATGAACAAATTTTCTAAATTGGGATGTTGTTCATGCTTATCATAAACAGTGCTCCAGCCTACTGAATGAAAACAAGATTTTCAAAAGCATGGATTATACACCTTCCTATGCTCTATGACAGGCAAAACAAGATGCTACCACTCATTTCTTAAAAACAAAACTGAAAACTAACATTATCCACCTGCTCCAGGCAGGACTCCTTCATTAAAGTGAAGGATGAAAACAAAATATGAGTAGTAGTCCACATCTACCCATCTCAAATTCTTGCCATCCTTCTCAACTACAGCCTCATTTTTAAGAAGAAACCCCCCAAACCTATAAACATCATGTTTTACTTCTTATATACAGATATAATACCTGGTCATGACTCTCTGCATAAGCAATGTATTTTTCTTCATGCCGTCTGTTTGTTAACGTATGCACAATATTGCCCATATTCCAGTCTTCATCTTTCAGCTCTTTAATTATCTGCAGGGGAAAAAAAAAAAAGATCCCTGCAAATTTATTGCTGTTTTAACTAAAAGCATGTAGCATTATCTTGACATAGGAATGTCCTGTAGATTGTGAACTGTAGTGATTCAAATTCTCCTGTTCCCGTTTTGAAGTGATGAGCTTTCTCTGCCCATCCAAAGAGATTTTCTTTTTTCCTTTTCAATTCTACCACATAAATAACTAGAATACTTAAATAACTCCCATACTTCCATGTGGAAGCATGGACATATCTTGCCCTCTATCGTGTGAATCCTCTAATACAGCAGGTAATGTGATTGATAGGACCTGCAAGAAAAGCACTGCACCAAAAACCAGCAAGAAATATGTAGGCACACACCTACCTGGTCCACAATATCAGGAGATGCAACCCTGGCACGTGAGAGCTTCCAAATACATCTTAACCGCTGGGCTGTGTGCTGCTACCTCTTGGTTTTCAGCAATTTAAATTAAATCCCATTAATAGGAATTTTCTGCCTCATATGACATTATTTCCTCCCTCTTCTAAGTCTGGTTTAATTTCAGCGTTATCCCTTTTTTTTCAATACTGCTTTATAGACCTCCATTGAGCACTACAACTTAAGTACATATACATAAATATATAGATATAAAAATAAAAGTGATAAAGAGGCAATAACACCAAGATGGCTAATATCATGCCGTAAAATTTAACTTTCTGAGTCTAACTGCCCATGTACTCTTGAACAGTCTTGTTTTCCTCTCCTTGTTTTTTGTATTTTGGGTTTTTTTTTCCTTTTTTTTTTTTTCCTGATTCCATAAGTTCTGGCTCTGAACACATGCAGGTCTTTATGCAACATCATATTATGTACTACTCATATCTTTAAACTCAACTAGTACAGTCACTGTTATGACAAACAGTTTATCTTTCTTACTTTTACAGATTCCTCAGAATTCAGTTCATGGAAAGTCTTGGAGATCCTTTAGTTTTAAAACTGATTTTAAAAAGTTACCTAGAAAACTTACTGTTAACAGGTATATACTTAAAAACTGAAGAGAAATGAGAGTAAGCAGTGCAGGAGAGTTTGATAACTGTCAGACTGATTCTAAACTTCTCCCTTCCAATCATTTCAGCTTTATTTTCCCTCTCAAGAAATGTGGTAACCAACTAAATACATCACCTGTTTCTCTAACTCCATGTTCTCTATGGTGGCTGCTTATTTGCAGTTTCCTTAGCTAAAAGTTTCCTGCTTACATCACACAACATTCTTGTGCAATTCCCACCAGCATCCCATGCCTGGCCCATGACAAGTACATGTTTAGGCTCAAAGAAGTGAGATTTTCTGCCACTAAAGAACAGAATTTACTGCATAACTACTTTTCCTATCCAAGTATTGCAAATTAAAATAAGCAGACCACAGCAGAGATTGCTAAATCAGATTATCAATTTTTTTGTACTTGTAAAATTCTACAGTCTGTTTTTCTTTCCTATGTAATATGAACTTGGCCACTTGCATTTTGCCTGCCTGGGAAATTGCTCACCTTGGCCTGTCTTAAAGCGTGACAAGGAAGTTGAAGGTGTAAAGAGAAACAACAACAAAAATCCCTGCAAACAAACACCCTCCCCCCCCACTTCAAGGTATTTCTTGCTGCTATAGAAATCTGTGCTCCAGGATCTAAATATCTAAATATGTAAATTACACATTCCAAAGTTCAAGGATGCTGTCCCTGCTGGAAAAGTTGCCAAGTTTATCTTCTGAAAAGAGGTCTGAAATCTGTTTTTTCAATTGGCCCTCCACCTCCTACTTACAAAATTGAAAGATGCTGAAGATAAGATAATTTGTTTTTTTATTTTTATCTACTCACTATATTTATTGAAGTATTAGAGGTAATATAAACATTTATTGTTTTCAGATTATCATGATAGCCCAAGGGATTCGAGTGTTATCTTCTCTCTAACTGAAAAACCTTCTCTAAAATATCAGTAGGAAGTTTTTTAGATCATTTAGCATTTTATTCCTTTTTTTTGCGATTCTCTGTATTAAGGAAAATGCGACATAAATCCTTGTTGTAGTCAGTGTTTATTAGTACATTATTGTTCTTGAAGAGCATTTACAGATTTTTATTATTCTTTCTGAAGCCCCCCTGTACCAATTGCAGGTGTTTGTATAATTCCCTTGGGTTTACTTTGGTTAAAACTTTCAGCTCTATATTCTATTCCAAGTAACACACACAGCGCCAGGAGGGTTTGTTGCATGTTTTTGGGGTGATCCTTCAATATTTACATGCATATGGTTAACATATTATCTACCTGTTCCCATTCCTTACAGATTAAACATTCTACAGCTGTTGCAAGATACAGGTTACTTCAAACAAATTGAGTTTATGTGTATTGTATGAAGAAAACAAATATCAGCTGGAATGAAAAGACCAGCCCCTCACCTGAAAACCTCCATGATACCTGACAGCTCTCACTGCAGCCATTAATACCTGTGCTCAAGCCTGTCAGGATTTATTTCAATAGGACATGAACAGCAGAGAGAGTAACATTTGTCAGGAGGATTTGGAAGTGTCTGTGTGTGCTCACTGACAGAAAAACACGCCACTCTGAAGAGCAGAATGTGTTTTTGAAGAAGTTCTTTCTCACCTGTATCCACTTGTCCGGGATAGCCATGGCCAGTCGATAATCAAAGCCCCCTCCTCCCTCTTCGACAGGACGACAAAGTGCTGGCATTCCAGAAACATCCTTAAATAGATAAAAAAAACACATCCCCAGCATAATTCCTATGGCATTTCAATTACTAGTTCGTGTTTTCTATCATACAGCAATACTTGTATAGAAACACTCTCTAAACACAACCCTATAAACAGCCTCACAGACTCACCTGGTTAAGGGAGATTGAAACAAATAAAAACAGTGATTACTACACCCAGATTTGTTGTTTGAATGCAAAAGTTACAGGGAAGAGCATTATGACTTCTCATCAAATACTCTGCCTCAAAATACTTTATAGAGTAGATATTTCAAGAGGAAGAGATCCTGGTATATGCAGAGTTTGAAATAATTAGATCTCTTGAGCTCCACGTAATCAATAGAAAGCACAAAGTAGTCAACAAAAGACAAATTAAACCTTCATTTTGTTTGTTGATATTTTGCATAAAGAATGGCATGAAAAAAAGGCTAAATATTAAGTACAGTAAGGAAGTAAAATATGATCCCTATTATTTCCCCACTGTGCAAAACCAGGATTATTGATCAAGCTAGTCCTGGAAAGTGACATGATCTTTGCATAATTTTTCATCTTCATGTTGATGGAAGTTGACCATTCTTAAATTTGTAATTCTGAGTTCTCAAAATATTTATTTCACCATGTTCTGAGGCAATTTTTATCGCACAGCATTCTCTTTCTAAAGTTAGCTTATCTGGACAGAAAATGCAAGTCTCCAATAATTACAAAATATCCATCATTACTCATTGTTATTAACTTATGTGGTGGAACGACTTCTCACTGACAAAGGTTATGGATTATCATACACGTCTTGCATCTACACAAGAGAATTTATGGAATTAAATACTGACTGGAACCAGGGCCTAATTAGGAAGCTCATTCTGTTTTTCTGGATTCAATCCAGTTTTTTTCCATCCAGTTGCTGCATAGGACTAGTGAAAAAGATATTTGTAGTTATATACACACACACACACACTGACATAAGTGAGGAGATCAACCACATCACCACAGAGCTCATGGATGGTATCCCAGGGGTGGAAGACAGGGCTGCCATCCAGAGGGACCCTGACCGGCTGGAGGAATCAATCAACAGAAAGCTCAGGAACGTCACCAAGGGCAATTGCCAAATCCTGTCCCTAGGATGGGTGCAGGCTGGGTCAGCCAGGCTGGGGAACAGCTCTGCTGGGAAGGCCCTGGGGCTCTGGGCCAACAGCAAGCTGAGCATGAGCCAGAAGGATGCCCTGGCAGCTGGGATGGCCAGCAGCGTCCTGGGCTGCCTGAACAGCAAAGCCAGGAGATCAAAGCCAGGGATTATCCCCCTTTAGTCAGCAGATCATTAGATCACACAGAAAACTGCATCCACATTCCACACAGCTGTAAAAACCAAATAATGAAGCGGAAATTCCTTCCCAGCTTTCTGATGTGATAAAAGGAAGTTCAGTAGCTCTCCTGAATCAGTCAGAAAGGATAAAAACAGATTAATGGTCTCTGAGTTATACAGGACAGGATGATACGAAACAAAAGCCTTTTTCTCTGATGCCATGATGCCTACCTGGACAAGGTCCAAACCTGAAATTTAAGCAGCTCACATCTATTTGAGTCACAATTTTGAAAGCCAGATTTTTAGGAAGTAAAATTCTAAATTTAATACTGTTTATATCTATCTACAAATTTTAACGGAACATTAAAAAAAATTAATAAATTTAGCATTAGTTTGTTCAGTACATCTTCCACCTGGTGTGGCCCTCAGACTACCACCTATTACTGATCTTTCATATAGGAGGCAATGAGGCAGCAACACGTAGTCCAAGGACAATCAAAATGGCTTTCAAGGCCTTGGGAAAGCTGGTAAGGGAAGCTGAGGTACAAATTATAGTCTCCTCTGTAACTCTAGTTGAAGGTACCAACATTGGAAGAAACAGATGGTCTACTAATAAATTACTCCACAAGCTGGTGTGACCACCAAAATGTCGGTGTTTTTGACAAAGGAGTGGCCTTTGTAGCACTAGGCATGCTGGCATTAGATGGGAATCACCTCTTCAGCAAGGTCTCCACTGGGACCAGTTTAGGTGGGCCCACGGGAATCTCCTGAGGTTTAACAAGACTCAAGTGCAAGGTGCTGTGTCTGGGTTGGGGAAACCACCAGTACCAACCCAGGCTGGGGGATGGAGGGATGGAGAACAACCCTGCTGAGAAGGACTTGGGGTGCTGGTGGGTGAGAGGCTGGACATGACCCAGCCATGTGCACTGGGAGCCCAGGAAGCCAAACATGTCCTGGGCTGCATCCAAAGCAGTGTGGGCAGCAGGGGAGGGAGGGGATTCTGCCCCTCTGCTCTGCTCTGGTGAGACCCCTCCTTCAGTGCTGCCTCCAGCCCTGGGGTCACAGAAAGGACATGGACCTGTTGGAGAGTCTAGAAGAGGGACATGAAGATGATCAGAGGGCAGGAGGATCTCTCCCATGAGGAAAGGCTGAGACAATTGGGGTTGTGCAGCCTGAAAAAAACAAGGCTTCACGGTGACCTAATTGTAGCCTTTCAGTACCCAAGGGAGCCTACAAGAAAGATGGGGAGGAACTTTTTGCAAAAGCATGTGGTGATGCTTTTGCAAAAAGTTTGAAACCAAAGGAGAATGGTTTCAAAGAGAAAGAAAATATATTTAAGATATTAGGAAGAAATTCCTTATTGGAACAGGCTGCCCAGAGCAGCAGTGGATGCTCCATCTCTGGAAGTGTTAAAGGTCAGGTTGGATGGGGTTTTGAGCAACCAGTTCCAGTGGAAAGTGTCCTTGGCTATGGCAGGGGGTTTGGTACAAAATGATCCTTTAGGTCCCTTCCAACCCAAGCCATTCTGTGATGTCATTATTATTAAACAGCTAATTTCTAAGCATTTGTTCAGACCCAGGTTGAAAACGAGCTGCCTATAAAACCAAAAACTTCAGCAGTAGAAAGCACAGTTGATTTTTCGCCTGTTTGCTTTTTTAATACTTTAGGCATGATGTAATTTCACTTAATACTTTTTCTTCTCATTATAAAAAACTTTAATCACAGCTTGATTTAGAAGATCAAAATGAAAAAAAAGAAGGCATATAGTCAGTAACACCTAAAAACTTCACAATTACTAAGACAGTGAATATACAGAACATTTAAAAGCTGTAAAAATCATCAATTATATTAATTAAGGTATAAATTAGAATTAGTTGTGGTTGGAGAAAAGTCATTCTTCATTGGCTTTTGTAATTTTCAATTATATCGATAGTTTCTCCTTCTGAAATTCTCCTTTAACCAAGCAGCACATTGATCAATTCTATGATTTGTGTAGCAACTCCCCAAGGCAGAAAATTATGTATTGAAAAAGAAGAAGCAGCTTTCAACTTAAGCAAGAGAAACTGAAGACACATCTTATTAAAGAAAATAAATAAACAAAAAACTACCAAAACTCTTAGGCTAGGTAACATAAGACAACTGAACCCAAAATGTCATTGGTAGGAATGTTTATGATCTAATGAATGAATGGCCAGTCTCTTCGCAAACGAAGAACCGGGGAAGGTCTTTCCACCTTCCAGCCTGCGCATTGGATTTTTTAGGTGAGACACAGTGTGCGCGGAACTGAGCCCACCCTTTAATCCTGAGGTTCATCTGCCGGGGCCAAGCACGCTTGGACGGTGGCAGCGAGGTCCTCAGGACGTAGATG